TAACTTATAAAAACGGATTTTATTTTATTTATTGATGTTCAAAAAGTTGTTTGTAGTTTTTAGCTGACCTGAGCTGAAAGCTCAAGTAAGCTTTTCTGATTACCTGTTGTCCGTTGTCCGTCTGTCTAGCTGTCTGTCAGTCCGTCTGTTGATTTTTTTTTTTACATTTTCATTTTCTTCTCAAGACCAACTAGGCCAGTTTAATCAAACTTGGTATGAAGCATCATTGGGTAAAGGGGAGTTTAAATTATTAAATGGAGGGCCTAGTCCCCTAGGAAGAGGAGATAACCAAGAAAAAACAAAAATAGGATGGACTCATTAAAAAAATCTTCTCAAGAACCACTGGGCCAGAAAAGTTGAAACTTATATGGAAGCATTCTGGGGTAATAAAGATTTTAAATTGTTAAACCATGACCCCGTGGGTAGGGCGAGGACACGATAGGGAATCCAAGTTTAACAGAGAAAAAATCTTCTTTGTAAGATCCGATGGGTAAGAAAAGATGATACTTTTGTGAAAGCATTCTAAGTAATGTAGAGTTTCAATTGTTCAAATAATGATCCCCGGAGGTAAGGCGGGGTCACAATCGGTATTACAATGGGAATTCTGTTAAAGAAAAGTATGGTCAAAGTTACTCAGGTGAGGCCCTTTGGCCTGTTGCAGAATCTAGAGCTGATTTACAAAACTTTTGATAATTTTGTAGCGCAAAACATCTGAAAAATTTTCCTTCACAGCATGTATATTTTGGTGAGAAAGTTTTTTAAAAAATTATTATCTTTTTGAAATGAAAATGCATGAATGCTTAAACACCCAATTTTTTGCTAACGCCCCCAAAATCTACCTTATTAAAGATCAATAATTTACCGCCTGTCAATCATTACAAAAAACAAAAGCTACTGATTTGATTGACAGGCCTGCTACCTGTGCTACCCGATTATTTGAGATTGTCTGTTTTTATAACAATTTACCTGGTCGCGCGTCAAACACTTTGATGTACCCGACTTGTATACATGCGGGGTAAAAAAAAGAACCTTGTTAGTAATTTTATTTCAAAAACAAATCAGAGTAGATAATTAAAACATTACTTCATAAAATATTTGTTTTCAATTTTAACGGCTGTATGGTAATTTTAGGCGATTTGTCGTCCAAGATATCTGCTGTAGAATTTAGACCGTCCATGCACAGTACAAAAACTCTATTTGACGATTAAAATTATTATAAATGGAATATCATAAATAAGAAAGGATATGTAGCACAAACGGCATAGATAAAAACCTTTATCCCATGTTTTATCTTTGTTTATATGATCACAATCTTCACCATGTTCTAAAGATATGTTAGAAACGAGCTATGACAGGTGACCGAAGGAAATGAGTTTCGAGATTATAACTTTTAGTTCAAATTTGTGTCAATAGTTGACATGAAAAATTGAAGATACTTAACAAAGATAAATTCTTAATTAAGAGAAATCTTGCAAATAATAAAATATTTCAACACACGAACACTCGGGAATGGTGAATATTTTCGACACAACGTAAACAATATTCCTCTCGCGGTACATTGTACATAAACACATGGTAAAGGTTCATACGACGAAAAGGCCTATAAATGGAATATTTTAGACCTTCTATTTTTTTATTTCATTATTCACACTAAATAAAAAAAGAAGATGTAATTACTTTGTAGTTTTAATCTATTCTTTTCTCTAATTTTACTTCCTTTTTTGAAATATAAAAACGATTTTTCTTTATAATTTTTTTTCTTCAATAGATATCGATGAAAGTGTTTATAAATAAATTTTATATAATTTAAATATTTCAATTATTTCAATAGGTTCACTCAAAGTTAGACGCGAAACACGTAATGTTGACTCTGATTACCAAACACAGACCTCCCGTGTACTGCTACGTGTATATAAATTTTTGACATCTTAAGTATTGGGGGTCTCCAGGTAAACAACACCACTGTTACTTAGCCGACTCCCCCGCCTCGGATAGCCGTATGGTAAAAAATAAATTGGGTCTTTAAATGAAAGAACATGAAACGAAACTGTTAATTCGTTCAGTTGCGAAATTTTTTTTTTTTGATGTATTCAAGATTGTTTTCAGATGGATCGATAAAGATTTTCTATGTGAATACACAAATGATGAAAAGAGCATTAAAATATATATATCTTCATAATATTTAACGATTTAAAATATTGTCTTTTTTTGCAGAGAAAACTAAGACATTTTATAACATTGAGTTACATCTACCTAATGTGCATTTGCCTGCTTTCACACAATGGAGTTAGCCAGAACATATAATTGTGACCGCGACTGGGAAAAAGGGGCCAGATGCGGCACACGTCATAATGAGAAATCGGCGATAGTTCTGAAGATTGCGTCACAATCGAAAAAAAAATAACGCGAGAAAAAAAAATGCAGTACACGTGTTTATGAAAAGGTTTATATCTGTCTCGTATGTTTAAAATGTTAATTATGAAATTAAAATAGATTGTGGTAATGTTTTGCAATATATTTTATTACGGTATTTTTTGTTAACGTGTTTACATTTCCAGTTGAGAACAGATTGAAAGTGAAAGTCGCATGTAAACTGGAAATGTAGGGAGTTGTACTAAACATGAGCCATACTTCCACAGCAACATCGATAAGTATACCATCAGAAATTGTTACATTGTATAGAGAGTGTGGATGAATTATATTTTTCTAAACTTGTTGCTCCAAAATTTAACGTGCGCGACAGACAGTTTTGTTATCTGTCAAGTGACAGCGAGACAGATACGAGTGATTTTGGTGATTTAAACTATAATTCTGACTCTGAAAGCGACAATGACAACAATGATCATGGGGATGTATATATACAGAATGAAGTTAATGACACCGACACGAAGGAATACATAATCCGTTCCAAATTTCAGAATGACACAAGCGGGTGTAAGGGGTTTTATATGGAATGACATGTAGCACGAAAATTGACTCTGATGTACAGTTGTACCATGTGACTTTCGTTATCATTGGTCTACAGTGTACTTGGGAGGAACTTGACACTATAATTAAAGTTGAAATGTTTGCACATAGGCGATCTGGTTCTGTCACACAGTTAAAGAAACACAGAAAAAGAACGAGTAAGACCATTTCAGGAGTACTACTTCAATGGATGCAGAGTGTGTCGTTCAATTTTGTTTTGTACATGCTGTTGAAAGAAAAAAAAACTCCATAAAGTTGCCAGATCTCTGGATACAGAGGGTTTTTTTTTGCCCAGAACACATGGAAACAGTGGTAAGGCTTATCAGTGACAGACAGGGACAGAATCAAAACATTTATTACTAAGTATGCTAGTGACCATGCCCTGCCTCTACTAGGCTGACTGCCAAATTACGAATCTGAGAAAGTGCTTTTACTTCCATTGGATACGACAACTGCTGACATTCATGGTAATTATGAGATTCTAGATGAAGAAATGAATTTCAGAAGAATACACCTAAGGATATTTCAAAGAACTTGGCATGAGTTGCGTCCATTTACAATACTGACCTGTGTCACCTTTGTCAGCATTTCTCTCATCAACAGTCTACAGATTCTATTATGAATGATAAGGAAGAAATCTTTTCTACCTACACGCAGCATGTTTTCCAAGCTAAGCAGCAAAGGGACTACTACAGACATCAGTGTACCATCAGCAAGGAAGCGTTCATTTCCTTACCAAAAGAATGTAAACAAACCGGTTAGTTAACATTATATTGCAAAATTTTTTTTCCCTTTAGTGTATAGTATTAGCATTTAATGAACATTCAAGTGTACTACTATTATAATTATGTGATGGATTTAGACTATTATCAGCCTGCCGGTAGCTAAATGGATAGACCAGCTGACCAGGGGTCAAGGGTTCAATATTCCATGCAGTCATGCATTTTCTCCTCTTTTTCCTTTAAGTATTAATAGGAAAACAGACATACCAAAGTGTTTGCAAAAATTGCTTCTGTGAAATTGAATTTGTTTGTTCATGAAATAGTAAATACTGTGAATACATAAAACTATCAATGCAATCAAATGATCATGAATGATTTATTTTATTAAAGGAAATGCTCCATGCTCAGTTGATATGGAAAATGCACTATTCCTGGGACTATGCACAACAAGTGCATTTTCTTCATCATGCCCAACAAGTGGGACTAATATTTATCAAGATGCCCCGGAAATGCAATGTGTTTGGTATATGTTGCGAGGGTTCAGGTATGTTAATTCATAAGTAATGATATATTGCTTAGTTCTTCAATTCATTCAGAAATAAATGTACATGTAATTCTTATAAGAATTTTATTAATTACCCTTTATTTGGAAATCTAATATTTGACGAAACAGTACAATCTAAAATACATGTATGTAAAGTATGATACGCTTTTAAATGTAGAATAATACATGTATGGGACTGATTCTGAATAAAACAATTTTAGCTATTACGAATTCTACAAAAATAAAATGTAGTTGCTGCAAAATATTAACACATTCTATTTTTGTCATAATGGATGTATATAAGCTAAATGAACAAGTCAATGTTTGAGTTATTTAGTTCTGATCAAAATTCTTGTTTTTACTTATAATAAATGCCAGCAAAAAAAGTGTTCTACTTGATTGACGAGGCTGAGAACACAGAGAAAGGTGCTAATTCTGTCATTAGTATGGTTCATCACCTTTTTTCAATACCATGGATATGGAGAAAAACGGTATCCATTTATTTTGACAACTGCAGTGGGCAAAACAAAAACACCTTTTTTTATGGTATGCTCTTTGGAGAGTTCTTGTAGGTAAATGTACATCAAATGAGAAATATTTGATTTTAATTATCAAAATTTGTAAAAACATTGTTTGTTATTCAGTATGTTCAATGCCCAAAGTGTTACATGCATGTATGATGTCGGTTTTGATAGTTAAGAAATGCAAACTCTTCCTTAATGTAGCATTTGTATTTAAATTAAAAGAGTGTATTTCCTTTCAATTAGGACTCCATGTTACTGTGGAATATTCCATGATGGTGGCAGGACAAACTAAATTTGATCCTGACTGGCATTTTGGAGTCTGGAAATTAAAATGGCTTTCATTCACATCAGAAACCATGAATGATATAGCATACACAGTCCGTCATTCATCCCTCAGAGGCCATAACATTCCTCAGGTCGTGTCAGATCCACAAACACCTGTGCAGTTTAGGGACTGGAAGTCGTACCTTCCTGAAAGATCAAAATATCATTCCCTCCGTAAATGATCCCCTGCCTCAAGAAATCCCAACACCTGGTCTTGAGCCCAAAAGGCAATGGTATCTCTATGATGAAATCCGTGAACAATGTCTATCACTCTCTGCTAAAGACTCATCATGTCCAAAACCATTAGTACCAAAGAAAGAGGTGGGAGTTTATTCACCTGATCATTCTACGTCACACTTGGGGAAAAGGAATAGTCTTCTCCTCAGATGAAAGGGAGAGTTATTGTGTGTAAGAAAGATTAGAAGTAAAATGTACACATGTAGTTCCTATTGTAATACATCCCGTAATGTGTTACATTTCTGTTTATCAAATTTCATTGCTTTACAACAATTGGTGGAATTGATACTTTTACCAAACTGTTTACATAAGCTGTGTCCTATGAGGAGTGTTACATCTCAACAGTTAAAAGAGTATGTAACAGTATGAAAATTGTTAACTGATGTTTGCATCTTCTTGACATTTTCCTTCAAATGCATTTTGGATATATTTTGTATAACAAAAAATATTACAAAACTTTGTCAAAAATGATTAACAACAGATTTTTAATTTTCAAAAGATACCATGTTCACACTGCCCCCCAAAATTTGATTTCTATAATCTTTATACTCAATACTGTTAATAATGTTAAGAAAGTACAGATGCATACATCTGTAACATCATAACAGTACATTTTATCCATAATGTGCATGTTTGCAATATTCAGAGTGTCTGTTTTAATAAAAAAAGTGTTCTGCTATTCATAGTTTTGTGAATATGTTTACAGCTGTAAAAGAACCTCTGTCATTCAATATTCTATGTGATTCCTGGTGTATTTTGTCACAACTACAAATACATGTAATAATTTTCTTGTTATTTTGGAATGTAATTTCAATTTGCATATTTATCTTTATAATAATTATAGTGCATTTCTCATGCTTCTAGAGTTTATTATTTTTTTTAAATAAATGGTTGGATTATTTTGTTCATTATGCATCTTTTCTTCCAATTCTCTCTTTGGTCATCAATGCTGGAAGGTCAAGGATACTAGTAATAAGTCAGTCTTCTGAATCAAATTCAATTGTTTCAACATGCAGTCATATGTAAGGGTACAAGTCAAAACGGCACCTGGTGAAAACGGCACTTCGGAAATATACAAAATGGCACTTGAGAGTAGTCAAAACGGCACTTTAGAAAAGTCAAAACGGCACTCTTTTTGTTTTAAAGGTCAACTGAAAAGGTTCTGACCTTTAAAAATAACAGTTTATTTAATGATTCAATTTATTTTCATCATATCTAAGCAAAATTTTAAGAAGAGTGTAAAGAAAAAGAAGAGATTGTTCTTAATATACCAGTAGACTGAAAATGTTGAGATGTTTGATTTTCTAATTATGACGTTACGGTAACGTCGCTGACGTTACGATATGACTGAAAGATGCCTGCATACACGGGCATGTATCTTCTTTATTTTTAATGATATTTGCATGAAATTTTGAATTTGTGTTATTCAAAGTGTGGTTATTTAAAAGAGACAATAAAATGAATTTCGATTTTTTACTCATCTGGCCTTATTTTCCCAGTCGCAGTCACAATTATAACAATGAAGATTGCACAGCAGTTCAACAAGAAATAAATTCTTTAAGAAATTCGTTCAAAGACCTAAGTGCATCAGTAAATAAAATTATTGAGGCGTTAGACAAAAGGCTGATTGCACTTGAATCTAGAGGTATGACTATCAAACATCTATTTTAATTGTCATTGTTATGAAAATAACATGGAGATTACATAATTTAATACTGAGAAATGATTTGATTGAAAATATTTGTTGTTCAAGATTCAAAATTTACCCCTTATTTATACAGAAGAAACTCTATTTAATAGTCATTTGCCGTAATAGAAAAAGCTGAATAAAAAGCTTTCTTGCTAATATTTTATGATCAATTAATTTTTTTTTCTTTTTGATCAAAGTCTGTGGCCCAAATTGGACATTTTTTCGTCAATCCTGCTATTTTATTTCATTTGATGAATTGACATGGGTGAATGCACAAGTATGAATCCAAAAACAATGTTTCAATGTTACGCATTAAATTCTTAAAAATCTGTAATACATATGCATCAATAGTTTGACGAAAGTTTTTTATGTTTGGTATTAATACAGCAAAAATGTTTCCAAAATAGCAGTAGGTTGGTGGAAATTGAAACGCAAGAGGAGAATAATTTCATTATGAGCATTCTTAAGCCGGACCAGAGAGAAGGTAAGTGATACAAGACAAAATACCTGCATTCTGATTAAATCGGTTCTCTTCAGAAAGACGGCGAAGTCTAGTTTTAGAATTATTGGTTTAGTATGATGTCATAGTTAAATATTTCCGTACAAATTAGGCCCCGCCCCCTTTTTGTAGCCTTAACTGTGCTGCAAAAGTTTTATATTGTTAATTTTGGAAAGAGTTTGTGATTTCAAATTTTCAAAAAGTTCCTAGGAATGTGTGGGTATTCAAATATGGTTTACCCCACTTCTCAAATATGTTATGGCATAATTCTTCTGAAGTTTTTTCTGTCGCTGGTTTAAATATTTTAGCGAGGAGTAAAGAATGAAGCTTGGTTTTTGTTTGTTTGTTAGCTGTTAAACGCCCCTCTTGAGAATTACTCATATGGAGACTCCACCACATGCCGGTAGAGAGCTGTTAAATTTGATCTATGCTTCGCATGCACTCAGAGCAATTGAGCAGTTAAGGGAGCATTTTTGTTGCTCTCCATCGGCAAGTGATGGCGTCTCGACATGAGTAAAAAAAATCTCAAGAGGGACCTTAAACAACAATCAATCAATCAATCAATTAATCCTTTCCTTTGTAGATGTCACTCTATGGATCGGTGCTACAGACATGGTGACAGAGGGGAAATTCGTATGGAATTCCACAGGACAAACCTTAACATTTAGCAATTGGAGAGAAAATGAACCAAATAATTTCGATAACATTGAAGACTGTGCTTCTTTATATGCTAGTGAAAGTCTGATAGGTCAATGGAATGACCGCCCTTGTTTTCGGGTTACCAAATATATATGTGAAATGAAAATTACTTAAGGTCTTCTCTGGAAAATATATATCTTGCATTCTGTTACTTCACTTTATCTCAGAAGTAAGGCGTTGATTATTTGCAATTCATCAATTTGATGTAGATGTAAACGACACTGCATTTTATAATTAGACCTGTTTTCTCTAATGTATTGAGAGAGAGAGAGCTCAATGTTTATACCCTACATCATATTTCTAAAGTGATTCCATAGATGAACAAGTTCAATTTCTACAAAATGTGTCCTTGATAATATCACATTTGTGTGTAATTTAAAAGAGAGTAGATAAAAAGACAACTTGATGATTTTCATAATATTTTTAATCAATGATTTTCATGATGAATTGTCCACGGAATTTGTTCGTTTTCTCGTTCAGGACAAAAGAAAAATGATAAATGTGACAGGCATGGAAGGAAATTCTTACCCTTCCATATGTAGCAACTGATTTCATATCAAATATTTTAAAGGTTCATGTTTACTTTGTCTCTAATCTGTTTTGCTTTAATAGACGTAAAGCCTGAATAAATTCGTTATGAATATTTTTTGCTAAGCGTCAAACACTACAATATTTGAGTGCTTCAAATTTTGTCATAGTTTTTAGAAGCAATACAAATGTACTTTTTGAGAATAGTAGACATGAAGACTTTTTATTGCAATTGTTTGTCATGATATAGATGAACTTGACATGTACGTTTCAGCTTAACGCCATATTAATCCTTTTCGTGGTTCCAACATATGTAACCTATTAACCTTTGACCTCAATCGTTTGATAGAGTAGTTTTTTTTTATTAACGATGGGTTCAAACATATGTTTTTAAATTATTTTCTGTAAACGTTTTTGGTGGATCCAGATGAAAATGTAGATAAAAACTAATAGTTAACATCTGTTAGCATAATATTTGTTGTTGCATTCGGATCGAATTGTTCTTGGTCTCTGTGAATTGGTACATTGTCTTCGAGATAACCATGCAACCAATGATCGTTCATGTTATTCGAATCTCTTCACCATTTTAAAACAGTATATAAAGATTACAAGAACATATTGGTAATTTAACACATAACAATATATAAATTGTTAGATAAATGTGATCTTTAAAGAACAAAACTTGGCACGTAGCTATAAATGAGAAGTATGGAAAGTCAGACTGATGAAAGAATTTACTCGCCAAATTTTAAGTGCAACAATACTAGTTTGTATACACTCTTTACTTTTGGTTAGTTTGAACAGTCATTAATATACTAAAGGTTAATTACATCAATTGCACAGTATCAAGTTATTAATGAATTTGAAGATAGAAATCACTCAAACCGATGCAAAAAATTAATTATATTCAAATATATTTAAGGTAGTCCGATCCTCCGGGTTATAAAATTAGCAGTTAAGTAATCAAAAATATTCATAAAAATATCTCTGAATCCAAAAAGTTTCGTAAATTTATCCACAGTATTTCTTTAAAGTTAAAAATTAAAGTTAATCAAATTGATCAACAAATATATTTTAAGTTAAAAAAAACAATAGGTATCCAGGCATTCAGAGAAATTGCTTTGATTTTTATACTTATTTAGTATTTTGTGTCTTCTATTTCCGTCATGTATTCTATAATACATAGGGTAAAAGGCTTTTGTTACCATTGCAAGACACCACAAATCACTTTTCATTTCATATCATACTAATTAGCATTTGTATCTAAGGCTGGATTCAAGAAAATCTCATCTCTCTAAATTGTATTTATTTTTTCTCCTTTTATAAGGTACAAATGTCAACTTTTATAAGACATTTTCTAAGACTTCCAAAAACCTTGAATCTTATAAGGATGAATAAAATGAAAATTGCTACATGAAAAATTGTCATTTTCAAGCTTCATTTTGATGCATTTCAAATAAAATATCAATTTTTGGAGTTATCCTTCCTGGCTGAGAATTGGATATCCTTAACATCATTTTTTCCCCAGA